TGGAACTGAAGTTACAGATAATTATTAACAGCCATGTGGGTACTGGGAACCAAACTCCAGTCCTCCTGAAAAGCAGCCGATGAGCCATCTCTCCAGCCCCCAGTTCACTTTCTTCTCTCTCTCTTGTCTTTTTTGAGACAGAGTCTCCCTGTAGCCCCAGCTGGCCTAGAACTGGCTATGTAGACCAGGCTGGACTTGAACTCACAGAAATCAACCTGCCTCTGCCTCCTGAGTGCTGGGATCAAAGGCATGGGCCACCACGCCCGGCCTTAATGTTCTTTAAAACACATTCTTTTTTTATTTTGATAAAGTCTCATAAATATATATTTTTTGAGGGGGGGGGTATTTGTTTGAGGCAGAGTCTCCCTGTAGCTCCAGCTGTCCTAGAACTCACTATTTAGACCAGGCTGGCCTCAATAATAACACAGAGATCCACCTGCCTGTGCTTCCCTAGTGCTGGGATTAAAAGTGTGGGCTACCACGCTGGGCAATATATATATACCAGCCTTAAACTCCTTCTGTAGCAGAGCATGACCTTCAGCTTCCGATCCTCCTGCCTCCTAAGGGCTATGCTACTTTTTTTTCCCACATTATTTCTGAAATAAAGATGTCTCTTATAATTGATACAAATGTTTAATGTGGCGGTCTCCTCTCCTTGCCTCCTGAAAAGCTGTTAGTAATGAGGTGGTATTTCTCACAAGCTGACACTTTTGACAGGGCCATAGGTATCCAGAGAATAGACTGGCCTAGTGAATATGAACATGCCTAGTTAGACCAGGAGAGACATTTTTATTTTTGATTGATTATTTTGTGGTACTGGGAATGGAATTGTCTCTAGCACATCTTTATTATTTTTTTTGTTTGCTTTTCTCTCTCTCTCTCTCTCTCTCTCTCTCTCTCTCTCTCTCTCTCTCTCCCTCCCCCCCCTTTCTTGAGATGGGGTTTCATTCCACAGCCTAGGCTGGCCTGGAATTCACTACGTAGTTCATGCTGTCCTTGAACTTATTGGTTCTCCTGCCTTAAAAGTACCTGGGACTACAGGCAGGCCTAAATCTCCAGATCAGGCTGTCTTTTTTTTTTTTTTTTTTTCTTTTTTCTTTCCAAGTTTGCCATATTACCTACACAGATAACCATGAAAAGAAGCCAGAAGCCCAGTTGCCCTGATCTTCTAAGAATGAGAGTGCCAGGTTATTTTGGATCTGACTTTTATCAACCCACAGACCAATGCTTTAGGGGCCAGGTAAGATACCTCAGCCCTCTCAGAGTGGGGAGCAATGGAGAACTAGCCTCTTGTGCACTGCCAAAGTTCCTGGCTGAGCAGGGGCAGGTGAAGGGGGCTGGGGAACAGATGGTGGGTAGTCAGCAGGAGCTGGACTCTGATCAGCCCTCACTCCACATAGACAAGGAAATCCCCATGTGCTATGAGAGGCTCCAGATGGCAGGACAGGGGCTCCTGATGGTGGAAGGGCACTCAAGCTCTGTTTGTATCTAGCTCAGGGGCATATTCAAAGTTCCTCAAGGAGAGCAAGGACTGTGAAACAATGAGACTGACCCCTTGGAAACCCAAACATCAGTTTGAGGTGATCCTTTCTCTGCTGTGCCAAAGGGGTAGGATAACTACAGCGAGCAGAGGCTCCATGTGCCCAGCTGGCAATCCCTGAGGAGGCCAGTGAGCTCTGGGACTCTAACAGAGGCTAAGGGAGGACCTTGGCATGCCCTGTGGCTGGAGAGAATCAGGTATTAGGCTAAGGAGGCACTCCATTCACATGACTATGTCTAGGAAGAGAAGTGTAGCCTGAACTCTGGAGGCTGAGGCAGGAGGATCAAGGCCAGCCCAGGCTATATAGTGAAACCCTGTTCCCAAAACAGGTCTGGCAAGATGGTTTAGCTGGTGAAGGTGATGCCTCAAGTATGAAGACCCAAGTTTGATTCCCAGGACCCTCATAGTGGAAGAAGAGAACCTACTCTTGCAAGTTTTCCTCTGACTTGCATAGTTCATTTTGTCATGCCCACATCCATACATACATACAAAATAAATTTCAAAAAAAATTTAAGAGCTGCATGAACTCCGGAGAGGTCATGGAGTTTGTCCATAAGCACATGCTGAGATGGGATGAGATTCCAGCCTTGCTGCTGTCCTCTATAGACACCATGCAGCGTTTGCATTTACACTGATCATAATGGGGGGAAATCAAGTTTGGCTGTTGTTTTGTTCTGTTTTGTGTTTTGTTTTGTTTTGAGGCAGACTCCCTAAGCTGACCAGGCTGGCTTTCACCTGGAAACCTCTCGCCTCAGCCTCCCAAGGGCTGAGTTGGAAAGTACAGCCACAAGGCAGCTAATTTCTACACTGTGTTTTCTGCTTTTATCCCTCATACATGCACACTCTTGTTGGTTTTTTTTTTTAAATATCTTAATTTTATATGTATGAGTATTGCCTGCATGTATGTAAGTGCACCTGTGTCTTGCAATGCCTTGGAGATCAGAAGAGGATGTTGGATTCCCCTGGAACTGGAGTTATGGATGGTTGTAAGCTACCATGTGGGTGCTTGGATATGAACCCTGGGTCCTCTGCAAGAGTAGCCAGTGCTCTTAACTGCTGAGCCATCTCTGCAACCCTGCTATTGTTATATAAGTCTCACTATATAACTCTGGCTGGCCCAGAGCATGCTATTAAGACCAACCTGGCCTTGTAGACCTGCCTCTGCCTCCTGATTGCTGGAATTATAGGCATGTGCTACCCCACATGGCTTCCTGTAAATTTTAAACTGGGGTGTGGGGGGGTGGAAGGGTGATTTTTGAGAGGCAGTTGTTAGGGTTAATGGATCCACAAGATAGAAGAACTGCAGCAAATCCTCATCAACAGAGAAGTCTGACTTAAAATATATTTAAGAATTTATTTTTAATTGTGTGTGTGTGTGTGTGTGTGTGTGTGTGTGTGTGTGCATGTATGAGTTGAAGGTACAGGTGATTTTTGAGCCACCCCACATAGGTGCTGGGAATTGAACTCTCTGTTTAGAGTGATGGAGCTGGAGAGATGGCTCAGTGGTTAAGAGCTCTGACTGCTCTTGCAGAGGATTCCTAGTTCAGATCCAAGCACCCACATGGCAGCTATCAACCATCCATAACTCCAGTTCCAGGCATCTGATGCCCTCTTCTGACCTACTTGAGCATTGCATGATGCAGGTGCACTTACATGCATGCAGGCAATACACTCATACACATAAAAGTAATAAATAAAACATTTTTTAAAAAGAAAGAACAGGGGGCTGGAGAGATGGCTCAGCAGTTAAGAACACTGGTTGTTCTTACAGAAGACCCGGGTTCAAATCCCAGCACCCACATGGCAGCTAACAACTGTCCGTAACTCCAGTTCCAGGGGATCTGACGCTCTCCTCTGACCTCTGTGGCATTGCATGACACTGGTACATTTACATACATGCAGGCAATACATTTGTACACATAAAGTAAAAATAATAAAATTTTAAAAAAATAATATGGGAGGAAGAGCAGGTGGATCTCTGTGAGTTCGAGGCCAGCCTGGTTTACATAGTGAGTTCCAGGACAGCTGGGGCTACAGGGAACCCTGTTTCAAAAAGGCCAAAAAAATAATAATAAATAATAATAATAAAAAGAACAGTACATCTCTTTGCAGCTGAGCCATATCTCCAGCCTTCAATCCATCCTCTTACCAGCTATTTCAGCAAGCCCTCCTGGCATCATGGCCCATTTCTTAAACAGTGCAAAAGGTGGATTATAGTTCTGTTTCAGGAAGCACTGCCAAGATTGAGAAGCAATGTGTATGGATGTCCCAAGCACAGTACTTGGATTAGGGTGGTGCTTAATCAATTGATTTGACTCTCCAGAAAAGAACCTGGTTCCCTTGACAGGGACCCTAGAGTGCAACTTGGCTGCTTGCATTCCTGCCACCCCCACTTCTGTCTTTACCATGGAGAAAGAGCATCTCATGCTTAACACATTTTGACCTGTTTGCTTCTCCACTTCTAAACTGCCTAGATGGTAATCCTGGCTACATCTGACATTCCCAACATACACATTTGCAAAGTATCTACTATGTTCTAAAAGTGGCTCCAAGCTTCTCCTCCCCATAATCTTCGAGAAATGTCTATTGGTACACAGTAACTGAAAAGCTAAATCCTTCTTTTTTCCCTTTTCCTTTCCTTCCCTTCATCTCTCCCTCTATTTCTGCCCCCTCAATTTTTGGTGTTGTTCTGGGGATTGAACTTCAACCCAGAGCCCTGTGACCGCCCTAGAAGTTAGATCTTTTATCAACTACCACGTTTTGCCCACACTATGTTGCAGAAGTCAGGGGAGGAGCTGGCATGGCGGCACATACCTCTAATCCCAGCATTTGGGAGGTAGAAGCAGGAAGATCAGGAGTTTGGGGTTATCCTCTACTACATAGTAAGCTTGAGGTCAACCAAGACTACGTGAGACCGTCTCAAAAATGTAGCAAAAAGGGTACAGTAAGAGATTTTAAATGTTTCTTACATTTATTTTTTGTGTATGTTGATGCATATGTGTAGCAGAGTGGAGGTGAGAGGACACTTTGTGGAAGTCAGCCATTCTTCCACTGTGTGGGACCCAGAGATTGAACTCATATCCTCCCTCAGCCATTACCAAGCCATCTGGAACTCAGTGTGGACCAGGCTGGCCTAGATCTGCCTGTTTCTGCCTCCCAGAGTGCTGGAAGTAAAGGCGTGTATCACCTTAAGTAATGATTTCTTTATCCTGAGTGCTATTTCCTCTCATCTTCAGATTTATTAAACTCTGTCCACAGCCACAATGTTTGTGGGAGGCTTGGGTCATCTGCTGATCTGAGGTGAGGAACAGGTCCGAGGAGTTACAAGTAGCTCAGAAGTCCTTCTCTGACATTTGTTTACTGCAATTCACACACATTCTGATGAACAGGCGGTTGCAAGATGCAAAGAAGTGCCACAGCCTGCCATTGCTTGACATTTTTATTATTGAGTGAACATTAGCACCAATGGAGGTAAAGGAATGCACTCACAGTTCAGGCTCCGTAACAAACGAAGCTCTTTCCACTTTCCCTTATTTTCTTCCACCCTTAACTCAAGTCCATAAATCCAGGCACAAGATAATAACTGCAGACTAGATATGACTGTGTAGTCTCCATGTTCTTCACACACAGATCCATACAGTGAGAAAGCACAGCAGTACTCAACACCAGGCCCTGTGACAACAGCCCCTTCAGGCCTATGGACTGACAGTCCTGAAGATGTTGGCAGGGCCATGAGACACACCCTGTTCTGCCTGTGTTATTTATGCCTCTGGCAGTGAAGCCCCCAACAAAGAAGCATGTCACTGGAACACATGCTCTTTGTTCACAGAGGTGCATGCCAGCACGGGCTGTGTAAGAAGCACAGTGCCCGGTCTGTAGTCTCTCCTTGGGCTCTTTCGCCTTTTTATTTGCTGCATGTTTTGGCTATGTTTATTAATTACTTTGTAGTTTAATATTATAAAATAAGCATTTATCCTGTGAACTATTTACCACTGGGAAAAAGTCCTTCATATCATAAGAGCTTGTTTGCCACAAGGAGAGGACAGAGCCTCAAGATATGCCCAGACCCTCTCTAGAATCAATACCACTCCTAGAAGTCACCAGGTTACCCTTCTGGAGAACCCACCTGCACCTGCCAGAGTAGCACCCGTTACTTGCAACTCAACACCCGTGGGCTGTGATCAAAGGCCCTTGGCAACTGTTCTCCATCAACTGTACCAAAGCAAGAGTTCACCACTGTGACTTAATCTACATTGGGGGTGGAGCAAAAGACGGCAGCCTTTGGGGTCAGGCCTGTCAGGCTGACTCCTTGCTCCTTGACTAGTTGTTGGGGCTACTGAGGGTATTTAAGCCTTAGTTCCTCATTTGTTCAATTAAAATATCACCAACTTCACAGGGTTGTCTGTAGATTAAATGGCAAGCACCATAGCAAGCCCCAAAAAGGATTGGCTCAGTGACTGCCTGTTAGCTCAGGGAACTGGCTCAGTACCTTTTTTCCTGATTAAAAGCTTCTCTGCATAGAGACCTCGTGTAATAAGGCAGGAGCACACCTTTTCCTATGCCCCCGTTCCCTCATCTTAGGTCTGTGAATACTGCAACACAAGTCAAGAAGCTACGCGCCACTTTTTTTCTCTTGAAATGTTATTTTAAAAACTGGTATGTAATCGATTTGGAAGTTTGGGTTTTTGGTTGCCCCTAAGGCAAAACGGAAAGGGAAGAGGAGCTTAACTTCATAAAAATCTGAGGGTTAACAGAATTTTTTCTTCTAATAAACTGTTTAACCTTTGGCGCCTAGTGTCAATGGTAGAAACAAGGCAACTGATGTGACACACTACAGTTCTCACTTTAAGAAGTCTCTCCCCAATTGGCAAAGCACTCACCCCAACGTAGTGCTCCAATTCCAGGGACCCTCTAAACCAGACCAACACAAAGACTGCCTGCCAGGCTTCCTCTAAATGGAGACCAAGAATTTACATACCTCACTGGGGTGCCCGAAGAAAAGTGATAAAAGTGGGGGGAGGGTGAAAGGCACGACCCAGAGGCTTCATTAAAATTGCTTTTTCTTTACCTAGCTCACATTAAATGCTGAAAATGTTTAAAAACAAGCAAGTAGAGAGGGAAAGTCTCCTGAACTGGGGATGCTCAGCTCCTGCGTGGCCCCTGTCCCTCCCGTTCCGCATGGGCTACTCCTACTCGATACTACCCAAGCGGGGAGCCACGAGGTCCCCACGGAGGTCCTCGATGGCAGTTACGACATCTCTGGGCTTGGGGATAACCACGTAGTCCCCGGACAGGAGCACTGGGTGCGTCTCAAAGACCCCGTCTCCGGTTCCAGTCCCATCTCTTCCGCGAGCACCAAAGGCTTGGGCGAGCGTCGGTGGGCGGACTTGGGCCGTGGGGGGCAACCCGGGGGGCGTGTGGTAAAGCTCCCCACTTGGACCCCCAAGAGAGAGCGAGGGGTCCCAGGCGGGCGGAGGGCGGGGAAACCCCGGAGAAGGTCTTACATCAGCCAGCCCACGTGCGGCCGGAGGGCGGGGAGGCGCGCAGAGGCCAGGGGGCGGAGCCTTACTCCCGGGCTGCGCCTTCAGCGGCCCAGCCCCGCCCCGCCTCCCAGGCCATCCTCGGTGCAGCCTGGGCAGCCGAGCCGAGCGCCACCGCGTAGGGCCGAGAGGAGCCGAGCAGTCGCCGCGCCGCGTCGCCGGTTTAAGCGCAGTGCGGGGCCTTGGCCGGGGGCGGCGGTAGTGAGGCCAGCGCCGCGCTCCAGCCCCCTTTTCCCTCCATGGTTTCTCTCCGCTCCCGCGAGTAACTTGGCTCCGGGGGCTCCGCTCGCCCGCACGTCCGCACGCCGCACGCCGCCCCGGACCGCGCCGCACGCCGCTGCCGCCAGCCGCCCACTTCCGACGGCCCTCGCCGCACAGGCCGGGTCGCCTCTCCCCCCTCCGCCCCCGTCGCGGAAAGTTAAGTTTGAAGAGGGGGGACGAGGGGAACATGGACATGAAGAAGAGGATCCACCTGGAGCTGAGGAACCGGACCCCGGCAGCTGTAAGTAGAGGCCGTCGGGCGCCCGCGCCCCCGATGACTTGCACGTAATGGTGGCCACCTGCGGGCCGCGGGGCTCCGGCCGCGGCGCGGGGAAGGCGCTGTTCTCAGCTCGGACGGGGACGGGGAAGGCGGGCGGAAGGCGCGGAGGGGGGAGCGAGCGCGCGGGCATTAACTCTTTGGCGCCCGCGGGCCCCCGCGGCCGTGGGGAGGGCGGCGGGTGGAAAAGCAAACTTTGAGCCGCTCGCCCGCCGGTTCTCTCCCGGAGGGAGCGCGTGTGCGTGTGGCCGGCGGCGAGGGCGGGCTTGGGGGTTGTGTAACGCTGGAAGCCATGTTTGCAGCCCGGGATGCGCTGCCGGGCGGAGGCCGGGCCTGCCGACGAGTCGCGCCGCCAGCCCCGCTGGGCCCGCCGCGGGGCCGGGCCAGGTTCCGAGCGCCCCGACACCGGCGAGGCCCGGCCGGACGGGGCCGGAGGAAGCGGGTTCGGTTCCCTGAGAGGCACGGAGCCCCTTGGGCACCGGGCCTGAGGAGGCCCGGCCTGGCGCGGAGCGGGGGAGGGGCGGGCCTGGAGGCAGAGGTGGCGCAACTGCCGCCCCTCCCCAGGCCAAGTTTGAAAAAAAGGATGCGCTTCCCGCCATTTTTCAAGCCTAAAAATACAACTTTGTCCCTGGTTTGCCTGGCTCGCCTTCTGCCCTCGGCCTTCCCCTCGCCTGCCTCGGGTCCAGCCGGGGCACCGTCGTCCCGGTGGCTTCGCCCTCCCCCGCGCCGCCGCCTGGGGCCCTGCCGGAGAGGCCAGCCCCTCGGTGTGGGCGGGCGGCGGCTCCGCGCGCCAGCCCGGGCGCGCCACAGCGCCATGTTGGCGGGCGCCGTCTTCCTCCGCCGGGTGAGCCGGCTTGCCCTCGCGGTGCCTGCCGGTCCCCCGGCCTGCCCCCACCCCGCCGGCTCGGCTCCGCGCGCACTGCGAGAGCTGCGCTCGGCCGCCGCCGCCTCAGCCCCTCGCTGGCGCCCTCCCCCTTCTTAAAAGGGCAACGGTGGCCGGTGCGGGGCTGGGGCGGCTTGGCCCCGCACGTGCTCGGCGCTGCCTTTGCGGCCGACCGCGCGCCTCAGGCCGCGGCCCCGACGCCACCCTCTTGCGTGTGTGGACGGCCACGAACTCGCGCTGTCGACTGGGAGGAGCCCCGGAGAGCCCGGCGGGTCCGCCATGCCCCGGCTGCGAGCGCAGGTGGCTGCGGTGAAGAAGTTGCGAACTTTGGGGGATGGCCGGCCCGGCCGCGCCTGGTATGCCCGAGGCTTTTGTGTTTTCTGTCCTCGGCCTTGAGTTCCCGTCCCCTGCCTTGAGGTCGCCGTGCCGCCAAGACTGGGAGGGTGGTGCCCCTGTTCTCGGCGCTCGGGGATTGCATCGGCACGTGTCCCTTCCATCCCTCCGTCAGACATTTTGTGCCCACCACGTGCTAGTGTATTGAATGGTTAAACGCCCTCTCCTTGTTCAACTTGAAAAGATGTGTTATCGCCTTGGGTTGTTCATTCGAGACAGCCACGCAAAATCCACGGAGAATGAACTAATTAAATTTAGCCAAAGGACCCATTTTCCAACTTAAACCTTAGCCCACTTGCCACAGACAGAGCCATGTAGCTAATTAAGAGTCAGTTTGTGGGTCAAGCGGTACACGTTTAAAGAGCCCAGAAGCAACAAGTGGTTCGTGTTCGACAGCACTGGTTGCCAGAACCACGGGTTTATTAAATATTTGCCTACAGTATGCCAGTGCCTGAGAAACCAACGTGAGCAAGGCAGAGTAGTCCCTTCTCTAAGTCTCAGATCTGGGGGCCTGGTGTGCCTTGGGTGTATTAGGAGGGAGCGTGTCCTGGAGACAGCCAACAAGATTGTGGAGGTAAAGGGGAAATTACTTATGGGGGCTCAGATCATTGGCAGGTGCTATTTGGGAGAGCTCTGACCTAAAACTGAAGACTGAAGAAAAAAATAAAAGGCTGTAGTTTTGGGGTTTTGGAGACAAGGTCTCTGTCGTCTCTTTCTGCTACTTCAAACTTGGCATCCTCCTGGCTCAGCCTCCCGAGTGCAGGGATTAGCATAGGTGTGTGCCATACTATCCAACAATTCTATAGATTTAGGAGGAGAAATTAAGACTCAAAATGTTTTGCACAAAAGTGTAGGAATTTCAAGATGGTGCCTTTAAAAATCAATTCATAATAGAGTGCCTTATGTGCAATGTCCTAGAACATACACCAGATCTGTGGTATTTCCAATTGTTAGGGAATAGTTTTGGCCTGGGACCTTATAGACCCTTGTCATTTGGGAAAGGAGGAAGATCCAGTTCCCCCCACTGAATGTACTGTTGCAGCATTGGTAGGATGCTCTGAAATACTGACAGCCTGTCTTATGATTGAACTTAATGGTTTAAAGTATGTTGAAAACTACCTGAAGAGGGTGAGTGGGGGCTTATTTTTAAATAAATAGTGGTGGGTTTCTTGCACATTTATGGATTTTTTTTTTTTTTTTTGAGTTTTGAACACCCTGGTACATTTCTTATGTATTTATCATTTTGTGAGTGTGGTATTTTTTTATTTTATTTTATTTTTTTGAGACACCTTTTCACTTTGTAGCCCTGGCTGGCCTGGAAGTAGCTATGTGGACCCGGCTGGTCTCAAAGTCACAGAGGTTGTCTGCCTGCCAAGTGTTGGGATTAAAGGCGTGGGACACCATATTGGGCAAGAATAGGAATTTTTTGCCTTTGTCTTTCAGTGCTGCAGACTGAACCAAGGTCATGTGCTCCAACAGTGAGCCTACATTCCTAGCCCATAGGAAATATATTTTCTGTAAAATAGCATATACCAGTTGTGGATATAGCCCAGTAGTAGTGCACTTTACTCTCCCAGTATGTATGAGGCAGTGCTCCAGCACTGCCAGACCCTTTCCCCCAGAAGAAAGTGTTATTTCACTGAGCATAAATTGTTGTAAGTGCTGGACCATAGCGTATATGCCACAGAAACTGGTATTGTCAGTAAGGTGAGAAAGCCCTGGCATGCAGTACTGGATGATACAGATCAAGTTTAGTTGTGTTCCAGAATTGGAACTCTATTAAGTCCCATTGCACACATGCTGCTCTGTCCTTTTAACCCTGCAGCTAGGGACAGCTATCCTAGGTCTCACTATGTACCCCCTGGCTGGCTTGGAACACACTGAGATACAGCCCAGCCTCTGCCTCCTGAGTGTTGGGATTTAAGGTGTACACTACCACACCCTGCCATTTAATTTTTTTCATCAAAGTTAGAAAACCAAGTAGCTACTTTGTGGGTTTTTTGTTTTTGTTTTAATTGTGGAACAGTGAAACAGGCCTGCTATGTGCTCCACTGCTAGGTTTTTTAGACTAGTCATTAGACTTTTCACTCTTGTTCACTGCAGGACACACAGGCTTTTCCTTAGCTTCCATCTTCCATTCTTGCTGTTGTGGCCTCCACCCCCAACTTTAGTCTTCTATTGTCTAGTGTGGTAGAATTTTGAGCTCTATGGGATATTCTAATTGGTTGCATAGCAACTGTCTTTTTTAAACCATGTACAAATAATGCATCTTTGAACAAAAATACAGATAAGCCAGAAATAGTTGATAAAGATAAGCAAAAGATAGAGATCAGCAAAAAAGAAGAAAGTAGGTGTCACATATCCAACCTACCATCTTTGGTGTGTGGTCTATAAGATTGCTTAATTTTTTCCAAACCTGGATCATTTGGCTCATGCTATTATATTAACATGTGTGTGGTCTTGTTGCCTTAAAAATGATATAGTGAACATCTTTGCCTCTATTATTTAATATTTTATAGCCTGTTTTCTAGTTTCTGTGTAGATGAAATTGCTTTTCAGAATTGTTTCCTTTACCAGCATTTCCCTCTTTCAGTGTGTCCTCTACTTTTCTGCCACCTCAGCTTGTTTAAGGACTACTGCCATGAGCCCGGTGTGCATGTAGATTCTTTCAGCTTAATTCATAGTCTTCCCCCATATTTTTGAGACGGGTCTCCTTGTAGCCCCAGCTGGCCTGGAGCTAGCTGTGTAGACTAGACCAGGCTAGCCTGGAACTCAGAGAGATTCCCCCTGTCTCTGCCTCCTGAGTGCTGGGAGTAAAGGCAAATGTCACCATGCTGGGCCAATTCTCTTATTTTTTTAATTTATCATTTTTATTTTGTGTGTATGAGTGTATTGCCTGTATGTATGTAAGTGCACCCATGTGTTGTTAGCCACCATATGGGTCCTGGGAATCCAACCTGGGTCCTCTTCAAGAGCAGCCAGTGCTCTTAACTGCTGTGCCATCTCTCCAGCCCCTTATTTTATTTTACTTTAATGGTTTATTTTTATTTATACAAGTGTTTTGACTGCCGTTGTGTATACTGGTATGTGTGGTGTCCATGGAGGCTGGAAGAGGGTGACAACTGCCATGTGAGTGCTGGGGATTGAACCTGGGTCCTCTGGAAGAACAGCCAGTACTATTAACCACTGAACCATCTCTTCAGCCCTCTGACTTCCCCCTTGAGTGCTGGGATTGAAGACTTTGACAAGTAGATCTAGTTTATTTTTTGGTATTTTGAACCCAGTGGCCCTCTATCTCACAGACATCAGCCTGTCTCATTAGAATTAAAGGCATGGGGCCCTATGCCTGTCTGGCTTTTGGTGTTTTTTGATTCCGGCTCTTATTAAGCCCAGGCAGACCTCAAACTCATTTGTAGCTGAGGATGACCTTGGATTTCTTATCCCTTGTTTTCCACCTCCCTAGTACTAGGCTTACAGGCATGCACTGCCATTATCAGTTTTATGGTGTGCTGGGGCTACCCAGGGCCTTCTGCATGCTAGACAAGCACACTACAAGCTGCACTACATCTCCAGCCCTATTGTCATTTTATTGTGGTCTTGGAAATTGAACCCAGGGCCCAATACATGATATGTCAACACCTTGCTACTGCCCTCTATTAATCATTTTTCTAGCTTTTGCGGGGAGGTAGGGTAGGATCTCCTGCCATGGCTGGCCTCACACGTGTTCGATATCACATCTGGTCTGCATTTTTTTTTTTTTTTAATTATTTTTAGCTGGGTGTGGTGGTCCACACCTTTAATCTCAGCACTTGGGAGCAGGCGAGGGTGGATCTCTTGAGTTGAGTTTGAGACTAGCCTGGTCTACATAGTGAGTTCCAGGTGAGCTGGGACTACAGGGAGACCCTGTCTCAAAAAGATCAAAAAAAAATTCTTATGTGTACGAATACTTGCCTACGTGTATATGTGTACCATGTATGTTTCTGGTGCCTGCAGAGGCCAGAAGAGGCTGTTGGATCCCTTGGAACTAGAGTTGAGGATGGTTGTGAGCTGCCATGTAGGTACTGAGAAATGAACCCAGGTACTTTTGCAACAAGTGCTCTTAACCACTGAGCCATCTCCCCACCTTCTAAACATTCGATTTTTATTTATTTTTTATCAAATCCACTTTTGTTTATTTACGTTCCATTAATTTAAATCCGCGAGGGGTATAGCATCACTCGGATTCTATGTCCAATGGCCTTTGCAGGAAGATTGCTTTGGAATTTGGCACAAATCATGTCACCGTTTCCATGGCCCTGGGTTACCTTTCCCCAAATTACTCTGGTTTTGTTTGGTTTGCCACCAGGAGTCAACTGTGTTGTTTTTTGCTTTATGCACATAAGCATATCTCTTGCCTAAGCAGAATTCAGTTTCATCTTGGGCATAAACACCTTCAATTTTTTTGTTTTGTTGGTCTTTTTTGAAACAAGGTCTCCCTGTAGCCCCAGCTGTCCTGGAACTCACTATGTAGACCAGGCTGGCCTTGAACTCTTAGAGATCTGCCTGCCTCTGCCTCCCAAGTGCTGGGATTAAAGGCATGCACCACCACGCCCATCTAAACACCTTCAATATTAAGAGCTGTATGCTCTCGGTTCCAAAGACCTCGCTTATAGCCAGCAAAAGTAGCCTTGCACCACAGCCTTCCAGACATTTGCCTTTTATAAGTCCTGTTCCCAGCAGGCCTCCACTGGCACCAAGATCTTAATGTTATTTTATGTGCATGTGTATATGAAGTGTGGGCGCGTATGTCCCATAGTTGACACTGTAGGACAACTTGGGAATCTGTTCCTCCCTTTACCATGTAAGTCCCGGGGTCAAGCTCAGGTGGTCAGGTTTTGGTGACTTTTAACCAGTGAGCCTTGTTTTCAGCTCTGCAAGCATTCTTTTAAAATAATGTAGAAAGTTTAAACATTGGTTAATTCAGAAGAATGGAAATTGATAAGGAATGCAGGGAACTGAATTTTCTATTTGGGGAATTTTGCTTAGGACAATACTCTTTTTATTTTCTTTCTTAATGAAAAACAAGTTTGTGTAGTGCACTACACAGAGAGAAGCTGACATGGCCGTAACAGAAGAACCACTGTCCACTTACCACTTTTCCTAATTAAAAGAATCAGTAATCGTTAGCCAGGTGAGGTGGTGCATGGCTATAATCCCAGCACTAGACCAGTAGGATTGCCACATGTTTGAAGACAGACTGTTTCAGAGTGAGACTCTGTCTCAAAAAGGGATAAAGGGCTCTGAGGTTTAAGAGCACTGTCTGCTTTTGCAGAGGACAGGGTTCAGTTCCCAGTTCCACATGGCAGCTCACAACCATCTGTAATTGAGTTTCAGAGGGTCTGGCCTCTGCTGGCATTGTATGACATGGGTACACTTACATACATGCAGTCAAAACACTTAGACATAGAATAAAAATAAGGGGGGGGTAACTAAAAATATTTAATTTCTCCATACCATGACCCCTTTCCTGTGACAGGTACATAATTGGGGAAGGTCAGCCAACCCTAAAGTTAAGTAAAACGATCTTTTTCCAGAGTAGCTGAGGAAATGGCAAAACCTGTGATTAAAATACAGTCCCTAGTTTTCAGTGAAAAAAAGTAGAGCCAAGTCTCAGCTTTACTGATGATTAGCAAGCAAGACTTAAATAGGAGTTGTATGGTGGCACAGGCTGTGAGTCAGTATCAAAAGTTGAAGGCCAGTACTTACCAAGAGTCTGTAAACATCAGGGGGAAAGCACTGATGGTGTCTTAGCATCTCGTTTTTTGAGACATGTTCTCACTATGTAACCCGTACTGTCCTCACAACCCTCCTGCCTCAGCCTCGAGTACTGGGACTGCCCAGGTGAATTTTTTTTGGTCTTTTTGAGTCAGGGTCTCCTGTAGCCCCAGCTAACCTGGAACTCAACTGACTATGTGGGCTAGATTGGCCTTGAACTCACAGAGACCTGCCTGTCCCTGGCTCTGCCTCCTGAGTGCTGGGATTAAAGGCATGTGCTACCATGTCTGGCTTCCAGGTGACCTTTATTTCTGTTATTTTTAAGCATTTTGGTTTATGTTTAGCTTTTGAGATACATTTATAAAGAGCACAGACAATGAATGAAGCCCCCAGCATTCCTCTTTCTTTCCCAGGTGGCTCCTTTTAAAAAGCATTTGCTGTGGCTCTTTCCGTAAGAGCTTTGTGAGCTAGGTATTCTCTCAGGTTTATGGAAACTAGGGTTGAGAGGTAGAGTGATTTGCTGGGGTTACAGTTGACCTCTTGAGTTTTGGGATTTGCTGATTTCTTTGTCAAAGAGGGAAGAAATGCACCGTTGCTTTAAAAAAGTGGAAAGAAAGAAAAGGTGCAGTAGAGCTGGGAGTAGGGGCTCTTGCCTGCAAGTTCCCCACTGCAGTAGGCTGGGGCAGGAGAACCCAACAGTTGATGGGACAGTTTAGCTCTACCCTGTCTCAAAATCTGGAAATTGGCTGGGTGTGGTGGCACACTTTCAGCAGGAGGCAGAGGCAGGGTGATCTCAGAGTTCAAGGCCAGCTGGGGCTACAGGGAGACCAAAACAAAAAGAGAAATTGAAGGTGTAGTTGAGTGTTGGGTGGATGCCTAGCATGTTAAGAGGCCCTCTCCCTCCTCAAAAAAAAAAAAAATTAATATAAAATAAATAGACCTATGTGCATTCTGAAAAGTGGTGAGGCATTTCCAGTGCTGAGGGTATGTATCACTCTAAGCTGTGTCCTTCCTAATGAGTAGATAGATGGTAGGAAGGACCACAGCAGTATGTATGCCACAGTTGTTCCCTTCCTGGACTCATATCATTGGATTTGCTTAGAGAATAAAGATGTACTAGCTCCTGGTCTCTTCAGACTCTGAGCACATCCCATACACGTGATTGTTTAGTGCTATTAAACTTGGTAAATTCACACAAGAATGCCTTTGTGGAACAGTTAAAACTATAATTGTCATCACTGTAGTAAGTAGATCAACGCATGTTAAGGTAGCAAAGTTTCAGAACTAACCACATGAATTGCAATAGGGATTATAGTCAGTTTGCATTATTAAATGATTAGTGCTGGAAATGCTTGGCTATGATGCCCTTGAATGGTTTTGAATTCTGAAAAAGAAACCTAATTTAATATCTGTTTGTCTCTTAGTCTTCTCTCTCTCTTGAGACAGGGTCTCCCTGGCTGCCTCAATCTCACAGAGCTCTACCTGCCTCTGTCTCCTCAATGCTAGGATTAAAGAAAGGTGTGTGCTACTATGCCAGCACCTAATTTAATGTTTAGTAGTTTATCTTAGCAAGATCTTTTTAACATGCATAACCCAGTTGGGTGTTTTTAATGGCATTTTGAGATGAGGTCTTAGATAGCTGAGGCTGGCCTTGAACTCAATTCTCATGCCTCTACCTTCTAAGCATTATGGTTACAAGTATGAACCACAAGACCTAGTTTAAATGAATGCAAGCACCTGATTTCTTTTAGTGTTAAAGTTGGAAACTGTGCAGGTATAAAACCCTTACCCTTGTGCTGGTTGTGGCGCAGGCCTTTAATCCCAGCACTCCGGAGGCAGAGGCAGGCAGATCTCTGTGAGTTCAAGGCCAGCTGGGGCTACAGGGAGACCCTGTCTCAAAAAGACCAAAAAAAAAAACCTTACCCAGGATTCTTTAGTGACCCCCGCCCCCACCACTGAAACTTAAATCTATAGTGTATGTCAGATGCCCTGTCTGGGAGCAGGTACTCAAGTGCCTCTCTGATCTTGGTCTGAAAGTAAAGCTTTTCTCTTCTCTTCTGTCCATCCTGAACTTCCATGATAGAGAATCTGAAAGGGTGTCTTCACTCTGCACTTGACCTTGGACAAAGCCCTTCCCAGGACAGCCCAGGAAAGAATGGGGCAGTGCCTCTTCATGTACATTCTGAGGACTGTGTTGTCTTACTTCTGTACTATAGAGTAGAAATCATTATTTTTACAATGAATTAACATTCCTCTTTGAATCACTTAGTGTGTTGCTGCTCAGAGACTGATTGTGCTTCATTTACTTATAACTATAATCCTAGTCTAAGTAAAGTACTGTAGCTGGAGTTTTTGCTTTATTTATTGTTTCCTCTTTTTGAAAGCTCATCTCCTTTTTTCGTTTGTCATCCACAGGTTCGAGAACTTGTCTTGGACAATTGCAAATCAAATGATGGACAAATTGAGGGATTAAGGGCTTAATTTGTGAATTTGGAGTTCCTCAGTTTAATAAGTGTAGGCTTGATTTCAGTTTCAAATCTCCCCAAGCTACCTAAATTGAAAAAGGTAAGTGTTTTCTCTCTAATTTTTTATTAAAGAGGAGAAATGTATGGCCTGGGGTTCTGACTGTGGAATCACTGTGTTGCAGAAAGCACGCGGGCTGTAGTGCTGTGGGTGTGGGGTCAGGTGGGTGCTCTTTGAGAGGCTGCATGTATCCTCAGCTCTAAACTGGTGGTTGACTTTGCGGAATTGGGTGATGTTTTAGAAAGAAAAACCTACCTGTTGGTTGCTCAGTAAATAGTTACGAAGGATAATTGTTTAATAAAAATTGTTGAAAATTTTATTATAATTTAGCTAGGTTTTGTTTTTACACTGTTTGGGGACACCACAAATGCCTCCTATGTTTTAGGTCTGTTGATGAAGGGAATCTTTGCTTGGGGTTTTTTTTTGTTTTGTTTTGTCTTTTTTGAGATAGGGTCTCCTTGTAGCCCCAGCTGTTCTGGAACTCACTGTGTAGACCAGGCTAGCCTCGAACTCACAAAGATCCCCCTGCCTCTGCCTCCCAAGTGTTGGGATTAAAGGCATGTGCCAGCATGCCCAGCCCTGCTTATTTTTCAAAATATTATTTTATGTGTTTGAGTGTATTGTTTACATGTATGTAAGTGCACCTGTGTCATGTACTGCTGCCGGTAGAGGTCAGAAGACGGCATTGGATTCCCTAGAACTGGAGTTAGGGACAGTTGTTAGCTGCCATATGGGTGCTGGGTATCGAACCTGGGTCCTCTGCAAGAGCACTCGGTGATCTTAACCACTGAGCCATCTCTCCAGCCCCTTGTTTCTGTTTTCTGAGGCAGTGTCTCCCTGTAGCCCCAGCTGGTGAGGAACTCACTATGTAGACCAGGCTGGCCTGAATCTTATCCACCTGCCTTTGCCTCCCCAGAGCTGGGATTAAATTTGTGTATTACTACACCTCCCTGATGAAGGGTTAAAGATTTAGGTTTTTTGTTTTGTTTTGTTTTGGGGTTTTTTTTGGTCTTTTGAGACAGGTCTCCCTGTAGCCCCAGCTGTCCTGGAACCCACCACCTCTGGCTACAAAACAAAATTTTTGAAAAAGATTTTTCAAGCCAGTTGTGGTGGCACAGGTCTTTAATTCTGGCACACTTGGGAGGCAGAGGCAGGCAGATCTCTGTGAGATGGGAGGCCAGCCTGGTCTACATAGTGAGTTTCAGGCCAGCAGTGGCTACAGAGAGAACTCTGTCTCAAAAAGACAAAAAAAAAAAAAAAAGTTTTCAGATTAATAGCCTTTGATAATTCAAACCTATAATCTAATTGTTAATGACTAGGGGGTTTGAAATGTGTTGTGATTTTGTAACAAAACTGCTACAAGCCAGGCCAGGTGGCAGTTACCTGTAATCAGTGTTTGGGAGACAGAGGCAGATGAGAGTCTTGAGTTCAAGGCTGGTCTGGTCTACATAACAAGGTCTAATCCCAGCACTGGGGAGGCAGAGGCAGGCTGATTTCTGTGTTCTGGACCAGCTGGGGCTACAGGGAGATTGTCTCCAAGAAAAAAAGAAAGAGAAAAGTGTACTCCTAATCCCAGTACCTTTTCCATTATTTAGGAAAAAAGTATATGGTTGTGGAAGTTTCACAGTATGCTCTGTTTTGGTATTCACTTTATTAGGAAACTTAAAAGGCACACATGAAAAGTTTATAGTCAAATTTATATAGGTAATGGACAGGTAGGATGACACCCTTCCCCTTTTTTTGCTGTTAATTATATAAATTAAAAGTACTGTAAAATTGTGTCATCTCTGCCTGCATTTGCTTTGCTTAGACAAATCCTTGACACTACTCTAAATTTTAGGTGACTTTTGGTGATAGAAATGTCTCCTTGGGTATCTATTTTGTTTTGGTGTTTGACAGGGTCTCATGTAGCCCAGGCTGGCCTGGAAATCACTAAGTTGACCAAACTGGCCTTTGCCTCACAAAAATCCACCTGTGTGTGCTACCACACCTGGCAGATTAAAAAAAAATAATTTTTTTTCACAGGTTCTTCTACTGTAGCCTAGGATAGCCTTGAACTTTTGGCAGTCTTTCTGTCTCACCCTTCTGTATGCTAGAATTGTAAGTTTGAGCTACCACACTCATCTTAAGTATATCTACTTCAAAGAGTCAAGGGCTTACAAGATGGCTCAGTGGGTAAAAATTCTATCATTATGATATCACATCTATCATATGGGTCATCAGTGGAATTGGAAAGTGATTAACCCATTTCATATCTGTTTTGCCATAAACTTGAATCTAGTAGATTCTTACTGTGGTTTCTATTTTGTTCTTACCATCCTGCTAAATTCTGAGTTACTATGGTCAGATTTCAGAAATTTGGCCCATCAGTGTTGATTTATATGGGGACTGCATTTGTTACATTTCTTGCTGTGACAAAATACTTAAGGAAGGTCTTATTTTGACTCACAGTTTGAGGTACAGTCAGTCCATTATTGTGGGGGAGGCATTGTAGAAGTAACAGGGTATCTAGCTAGCTGCACTGGCAAGAGTATGTGTGGCACAGTTGGTTATAAAGCATCCACAGGAGAGATAAATTCTAGTGTTTTTCTGGCTTCTTTTTCCTGAACCTCTAGTCCATGGGTTGTTGCCACATATAACCAGGGTAGATCATCCCTCAGTTAACTTTCTCTGGAAATCCCCTCATAGACAGGGGTATCTCCTAGCTAATTCAGAATCAACAGTGAAGGTTAGCCTTCACAGCTTTATTGAGTCTTTCTGAAACTTTTGGTTCCTTGAGATAGGGTCTCACCATATAGCCCAGGCTAGTCTGGAATATAATCCTTGTACCTTAGCCTCCTGAGTGCTGAGAGTACTTGTACCACCATGCCAGGCTCTTTCTGAACTTTTCAAACTAACCACTTACAGGGCTAGTTAGGTGATCATCATACAGCAGCAGATTGAATGTTCTCATAGCTGATCAGGACAGACCACATAAATAAACACTAAGAAAGTGTTTGGTATAGAAATGCCAAACATTTAAAATTTTTTACACTTACTTCAAAGTAACTATGCCTTATTTGTTCCATAAGACCCATGTTACAAGCATATTACATATAATAATCTAACAACATGAACTCAACACAGAACAAGAAAGATGCTTCTGTTTTTTGATTATTCGAAAATTATGAAATTCAATTCTTGAATGTTTATTGATTATCAACTACAGTGTTTTAAGTTTCTTGTTTGTGGCAGGGCACAAACTACAGTATACATGTAAAAGTCAGATAACTTGAGGCAATCAATTCTGTCCTTTTACTATGTGGGTTTCAAGGATCCAACTCAGGTTGTCAGACTTAGTGGCAAGTGCCTTCCAATGAGCTATCTCACCAGCCCCTTTTAGGCTAGCATTTTTTAAGTCTTTTTTTGGTCTTTTTGAGACAGGGTCTCCCTGTAGCCCCAGCTGGAGAGATCTGCCTCCAGAGTGCTGGGATTAAAGGCATGCACCACCAGGCCCAGCTGAGTTTTTTTTTTTTTTTAATATTTTATTTATTATTTATTTTATGTGTATGCGTGTATTTGCCTGCATGTAGGTAAGTGCACCTGTGTTGTGCAACGTCTGTGGAGGACAGAAGAGACTGTTGGATCCCCTGGAACTAGAGTAACGGAGAGTTGTTAGCTGCCATTTGGGTGCTGGGATTTGAACCCTGGTCTTCTGCAAGAACAGTTAGTGTTCTTAACTGCTGCTCTCTCTCCAGCCCCCCCCTTTTTTTTAATAAAAATTTATGTGTATGAGTGTATTGCCTGCATGTGTATGTAAGTGCACCTGCGTTGGGCAGTGCCTGCAGAGGTCAGAAGAGGGCATTGGATCCCCTGGAACTGGAGTTAGGACAGTAGTTAGCTGCCACGTGGGTGCTGGGAATGTAACCTGGGTCCTCTGCAAGAGCAGCCAGTGTGTTCTTAACCACTGAGTCATCTCTCCAGCCCCCAAATCTTATTTTGTTGAGACAGATTGTCACAGGCTAGCCTTGAACATTCCGTCATTCTGCCTTCTGGGTAGGTGAGGTGACAAGCCTGTGTCACCACGCACAGCTTACATGAAGTTATCATACGTAGCATGTGTAGGTACATAGCATAGTGGGCAGAGCATGTGTTCTTTAACTAGACTGTCTGGCTTCAGAGATAGGCTCACCACTGGATGTCTTCGTGATCCCAGACCAGTTACATTTTTGCATTTCATTTTCCTCACCTGTAAATGGGATAATGATCCTACCAACTCCCTTCAGATTTGTCATAAGACAAATGAACTAATGTCTTTAGTGCTTTGAAAAGTGACTGGCACTCAAGTACTATGTAAGGATTGGCTGGTTACTTTGACATTGAATATTTGGAACTGTATGTGGCCTGAATTTTTATCTGCAAAAGGAAGAGCTTGATTAGGCTGCAGTTCCATATATTCTGAGACTCCAGTGCATTTTGGTGGAGGCTCATTCATTGGCACACCACTTGCTTGTATAGCTTACCTGCAGCTGAGAAACTAAATTGTGAAGCCTAGTGCCAGGCTTACAAAAGAAGTGGCCTTTGGGGAGCTGTTTCACAAACCCGAGGCCATTGCCCAACCCCCACCTCCAAAAACACTTTGGTAGGCATGGAACCTGTGGCCTTGCACAACCCACTTGTACTACTGCCATCCTTCCTGTGGTATTGAATGATTTTTTTACCAATAATTGTGGTTTTTTTTTTTTTGTCTTTTTGAGACAAGGTCTCCCTGTAGCCCCAGCTGTCCTGGAACTCACTACGCAGACCAGGCTGGCCGTGAACTCATAGAGATCCATCTGCCTCCCGAGTGCTGGGATTAAAGGCGTGCACCACCACGCCTGGCCATTTTTGTAATTTTTTTGGTTATCATACACAAAAATGGGTTCTACTATAACATGTTCATACATTCATACATATACATCATGTACCCTTCCTATCATACATACCTCCCCCACCCTTTGTCAGAGTTTCTTTATGGGCTTATTTCTGAGGCCTAGTCCATTCCTGTTGCTCTCTGAGCACTACTCTGCAGTGACTTCTTATGTTGAACCCCACAATGGGTCTGCCTTGTTTGGAACCAGTGTTTCAGATAAGCACTGCAGACTTTGGCACACAGAACTATGTAGACTATGTTGGCCTCAAACCTGTGATCCTCTGCTACCCTAGTGCTGAGATCATGGGGATGTACCATCATGCACCACCTTCTGCATATTAAGTCCACCCATGTCCTCAGAGGCCTGGATCTGAGGCCTTGGATCCCTGGAACTGGAGTTACAGTTGTTAGCTGCCAGGTAGGTGCGGGGAACTGAACACAGGGCATATGCATGAGTGTTCGTTATATGTGTTTGGGTATATTGCCTGTAGGTAGGTACTCATGTCATGCAGTGCCTGTGGATGTCAGAAGAGAGTGTCAGACAGAGCCCCTGGAACTGGAGTTAGAGACAGATGTTAAGGCCCCTTGTGGGTGCTGAGAATGGAACCCAGGTCCTCTGCAAGGGCAGCCAGTGCTCTTAACTGCTGAGCCATCTCTAGCCCCAAACATTAGCTTACTTTTTTATTTTTAAATTTTTTATTTACTTATTGTGGGTGGGGCAAGCATGCCCTGGTGCTTGTAGAGGTTAGAGGAAAACCTGTGGAGTCTTTTCTTTCCTTCTACCATGTGAGTCCTGGGAATTGAACTCAGGTAAGTCATTAGGCTTGGCAGAAAGTGGCTATGCTCATTGAGCCATCTTGCCACCATGCCATACCTTCAGCTTCTTAAAGGATTCTCATTTGTTTTAAGCCATTTTTAGGTAGAAATTATGTTCATTGATGTTAGAGGTCAATCGTTGAACACTGTTAATAGCATCTGGTTAAGGAAATACTTCCTGGGGCTTGAGAGATGACTCAGTGGTTAATACTGACTGCTTTTACAGAGGACCAGGTTACCAGAACCCACATGGCGGCTAACTACTATCTCTAACTCCAGTTCCAGGGAATCACATACCCTCTCTGGCCTTCTTGGGTGTTGCATGTCACTGTCACCACTGCAGTTAACATACACATATAGGCAAAACACTTAAACATATAAAATAAAAATAAATAATTCTTGTGTAGCATGCTCACCCTAACCCCCCATTCCAAAAGGGATCTGTAAACTATTTCATTGGATTTAATCGAACAAAGTGAACTTTCGTGGTCTAACAGAAATAGGGGTTTATTGGGGTGGGCGTGTTCTGTTGTATGTGTTGGTAAGTTTGTAGATTAGTTGGTCAGTGGGTCAGAAACCAATCTACAGTAGTCAGTTCTCCACTGTAGGGGTCCCAGGGATTGAACTAAGATTGTCAGGCTTGGTAGCAAGTGTCTTCACCCTCTGAGTTGTCTTACCTATCCTAGTGGGGTTTTGTTGTTTGTTTTTATTAGAAAACAGGGTCTTACTATGTATTCCAGGCTGGCCTGGAACTTGATCCTCCTGCCTCAGCCTTCTCTTGAGTCATGGGATTACAGCAGTGTGCAGCTATACCTTGATGATTACTTGATCATGGTAAATATTTGAGAATTTGCTCTTTATGTTAATTAATAGTGATTGATTCTCCATGTTTGTTTCTCTGCATTCTTTTATAGCTTGAGCTCAGTGATAATAGAATCTTTGGAGGGCTGGACATACTAGCAGAAGAACTTCCAAATCTCACACATCTAAACCTAAGTGGAAATAAACTGAAAGATATCAGCACCTTGGAACCTTTGGTAAGTAATTGAGAATTGGAAAGAGAGTTATCAGTCATTTTCATTTTCATATTTCTAGTGGGAAAAATGAGAGTAATAATTGACTGAGAAAGTGATTGCATTCCCACAATTCATAGTCCAAAATTTAGAGATCAAGGCTTCTGTGTGCATTCCTGTGACTTTCCTCTCCCTGGCTGATACTATGATGGTATCCTTCAGTGGAGAATTAATGTTTTGTTTTTTCTTTTAAAAATGCATAGTTATAGTAGCCTTAAACACGTCTCTTAGTTTTTTTCCCTAGCCTGGCCAAACTATTTTATACTTTAACAGACCAATCCTTAGTGGGTGGAATTTGTAACAATAAAGTTCAGCTCCAATAAGTTTTCAGTCTTTTAATTCATGATCTTGGACTTTCCTGTATTCCTGTTGCCTCATTCTATGTGAAAGCCCCCAAGTTCTTCCTTAGTCTCACCTACTGGAGTAAGTTATAGAAACTTCGGTTGTAAACTTACTGTGTGTCCTTGAGCAAATTGCTTCTCTGAGCTTCAGTGTCCTCATGAGCAGAGAGGACAATAATCAGTACTCTGAGAACAAAAGTTGAATGATGAGTTTATTTGGTTGTAAATTAGAAAGCTGTTCTAATGAGAGTTGGCCCCTGTGGAGGTTGTAGTGACAAAAAAAGAGCATCTGGAGATGCAGGGGGTTAATACAGGAGAGCGGCAGCTCCACGGGCTGTGCTTTGTAGGAGGGAGTTAGGCAGCAGATATATGAGCTATTAAAATAAGGGGTTTCACCTCACAAAGAAAATTCTGTTGGCTGGAAGTGTAGCTCAGTTGGATGCCTAGAATGCACTAAACCCTGGGTTTGACACACAGGACAGGTTGACACAAGCCTGTAATCCCAGGAAGATCAAAGTTCAAGTTCATTTCCCTGTACATATAGCAATATTGAGGCCAGCCTGGGTTAACATGAAACCCTGTCTCAAATAACAAAAAAGGAATGCTGTGTTAATGTTATGGAGGAAGACAATAAAATTGTGGTTTCTTTCAATGATTTAAGAGTTTATATTTATCATAGATAATTGAGAGTTTATTTCCTATCCTTGTTCCACAAATTTAACTTTTTCTGTTACAGATACTGCCAATACTTCTCCATTCTCTATTTTTTTGGTCTTTTTGAGACAGGGTTTCCCTATAGCCCCAGCTGGCCTGGAACTTGCTATGTCGACCAGGCTGTGCTTGAACTCAGAGATCCACTTGCCTCTGCTGGGATTAAAGGTGTGCAATACCATGCCTGGCCCGGTTCTCACATTTTACTAGTTTCATTCTTTCTGTCCAAAGCAGCCTCTATTTCCAATCATTAGACATTTATTGAGTTTTGCTTTATCTAAGGACACTTAAATATTTGTCTGTAGGCTCATTTAACCCAGTGGAGGGAGAAGTAGTATCTTCTGTTTAGAGATGAGGAAACTGAGTTTAGAGAGCTTAAATAATTGCTTGGAATAAATGACAGAATCAGGATCAAATCCAAATTCACTGTCTTTTACATTGCCCTTGGGACCTGTTTTCTTTCTACATGTAAATTGATGCCATACCTGAATATCAGTAAAATAGAATTCTAGCAGGAACATACTAACATTCCTTCAGTCCAGTGGTCTGCACTAAGCTTGTGTTTATTGCTTAATGACAGATCTGTGAATTCTGAGCCACTTTGAGTTTGGGAAGTGTACCCCTCCACTTCCCTGCCCTCCATTTCATATACCAGAGTAGCACAGACAGTACCTTTCTGTGCTAGATAACTAGCTGTTCCTGATTCCCTTGGTCTGGAGCCTGTGTCAAGTGGTCTAGCATATAGAGGCAGAGGACACATGCCCTTTGAGGCTTGTTGTTTGATGTTTCTCATCCTGGTCTAATGGATAGAGGGCCCTAAGACAGTGAAGGATATAAGGTGATCTTTGTTGTATTTGTAATTTTTAGAGGACCTGCTCTGCCCCTCCCATACACTATTGGGGGCTTCCTACACCTTATCCTATGTATATTATAGTAATTATTCAAAACTGTTACCTAACCAGATAGAAATAGTATGGTCCTTGTTTTATTTACACTGAGGAAGATAGGGCTTGGATGAAACTGCATTACTTGATACAGCTCACTGTGTGGCAGAGCCACTGTGCTATAACACCAGGCTCTTTGAAAGCTTGAGCTCCCACTATATTGATCCATTTGGTTGTTCAAATTCCTGAGGTTCTAGTTCCAAATGAAGGAGAATCCATACTCCATAGAAGGAGTGAAGGGGGAGGAGCTAGGTCCAGTGTTGACTTCTGAAAGTGTTCTTCAGTGGGAAAAACACCATCCTCATCCTCATTAACCACGCATTTTGAACACTACGTTGAGCCCAGTTCTTATAGTCAATGCAATGATTGTGAATGCCTCTGCTTGCTACAGGGACATTAATCGAGAGACAAAGAAGGCATCAATTCAAACTTCCTTGGACACCTTTTTTAAGAGACCTGGGCCATCCAAACCATCCCCCAAAGCCCTTCTAAATTCTAAGAAGGCAAGCAAAATTATTGTTAATAAAATGTTTGATGTTTATTATGGCTAGCCTATTAGCTTAGGTCAAATTTCTGGCATGGTACAGTTGTATTTTTTTTTTTTTTTATTTTAGCAGTATATACACATGACATTGGGATCCTGTATTTTATGCCTGTTGAGCCATAAGCACAATTTTGCTACTTTAAACATTCATAGGGTAATTTACTTATTTGGAATTTATTGTTTACTTGCTTTTGTTTCATTATCTAGTATACTGTTGGCATGTCAGAATTATTTGATAATGGGTACTTTGTCAAGAAGTAGACAAAAATCTTGGGATTCATGTAGTTCAGAAATAGGGCAGCCTTAATTTCCCTGTGTATTAGAAGTATCAATGGTTCGTTTCACTAAGTAAACAGTTTTTAGGCAATCTAGGAACAGTGATATGTGCTGTAATCCCAGCTACCCAAGAGGCCAAGACCAAAAGGAATGTGAGGCAAAGGCCGACCTGGGCTACATGGTGAGACCTCCCTACCTCAGAATGGATAGTGGGGGTGGGGATAGACTAAACCTCTTTGGGAAAGCTGCCTCATTTTATTTCTTGTGTCTTACCTGGTTTAGAGTTAACCTTGGTGAACAGAAGGACATTTAGTCCAGAATGGTAGAGTAGTAATGCCCTTAGAATCATGAGAGACTGAGGCAGGACAATCATGATTTTAAGATCAGCCTGGGCAACATAGCAAGACTTGGTCTCCAAAGAAGAAACCTAATAGACTGAGCTGATTATTTGAGGTGGTATTACAGCATTTCCCCTCTTGGGAAGAAATCATACCTGGGTATCAGGGCCTGCCCAGTAGGAAACCTAATCTGAAAGTTACCTTATACAAAAGAACTAGCAGGGGTGGGACTGCCTTCTTGATACATCAGGGAACTGGCTTACTCAAATAATTATTTGATCTACAAAGTCTTAAATCTTTGTACACTTTGTTTGTTCTTGTGTTTGTTTGTTTCTGGTCTTTGTGAGACAGGGTCTCCCTGAAATCCCAGCTAGCCTGGAACTAACTATGTAGACTAGGCTGGCCTTGAACTCCCAGAGATCTGTCTGCCTCTGCCTCCCAAGTGCTGGGATTAAAGGCACACACCATCAGGCCGGCCTGTACACTTTGTTTTTGAGGGATACAGCCACTTGACTCCCTTTACAGTTCAAAGGGAGATATGTCTAGTACATAAGCAAATGAATGTTAAGAACCAATAACTCTTTATTGCACAAAAACAACTGGCGAGGCAGAATTGGCCTGTATGCTGATTTGTCATCTCCTGCTATAGAGCTCTAAAGCAAAATTTCAAAGCACCTTCAGTCCTAGAAGCAAGGTTTTATGTCTTTTTCCGCCCTCAGGTCCTGTGATTGTGGCAGTAACTTTCCAAAGAAAATAACAGTCTTTTAAGCATCAATACTTTCTTAATTAAGGCTTGTTTCATGCAGAGCTAATGTCTTCTTTTGTTTTGGTCTTTTTGAGACAGGGTCTCCATCTAGTCCCAGCTGGCCTTGAACTCACAGAAATCTGCCTGCCTCTGTCACCTGAGTGCTGGGACTAAGTTCTGTGCCACCATGCCAAGCTTTGTTTTGTTAATAATGGTTTTTGTTTTTGAGAGACTGGGTATCCCAGATTGGCCATATGTAGCTGAGGATGACCTTGAACTTCTGATCCTTCAGCTTCTCATACAGATATTACAGGCTTGCTCTGCCACACCTGGTTTATGTAGTGTTACATATCAAACCCAGGGCTTTGAGCAAGCACTGTACCAACTGAGCTACGTTCCCAGCACCCAATGTGGATTTCTGAGAGGACTAGCTCTTGATTTAGACATTCAAAAGTCAGACTTTTGAAAATGTATAATCTCCTGTGTTCTGAGCTTATTGCCCTATCCTGGAAGGTAGCAGGCTGCGTATAACTGCATTTTGTGATGACTTTCTGTTGGCTACTCTCTCCTCCTCAGGAGTATTTGCTGTGAACTCTTGTGATCTCCTGACTTTGCTGAAATAGAGACTACCCGAAATTTAATTCATGCTAAATTGAAATTTTAAAAACCTGACTAAGATTGAAATATTTTGCATTACAATCATAAGTGAAGGTCTGGGTAAAATATGTGAATTTTCTCCTATTCACTTGAGCTACTCAGAACCTTTTAGGCCATGTTTTTTAGATTTTAGGTGTTAATTATTTTTAGATGAAATTGATCATCTCAAATATGAGGTTTGGCAGCAGTATATTAAAGTATAGGAAAGTCTGAAGTCTGATAAGTCTGGTAATAGCGTTAGCTTTTCTTTAGACCTTAAAGAAGAAAGGTGCATAGTATTTTTCTGTTTCTTCGGTCTTTTTGAGACAGGGTCTCCCTATAGCCCCAGCTGTCCTGGAACTCACTATGTAGACCAGGCTGGCCTTGAACTCACAGAGATCCGCCTGCCTCTGCCTCCCGAGTGCTGGGATTAAAGGCATGTGCCACCATGCCTGGCCCATTTTTCTGTTTCTTAAATCTACACCCATGAGTACCCTCTCTCCCCACCCTACACTGCCTCCTCTCTAGGCCAGCACACCTCATGCCTTGCTGCATTCCATCCTCCAGTGATGGACGTGAGTGTGTCTGGGGACATTTCAGTTATTTCAGATTTAGACTCTTAGGGGGGAGCAGGAGTAGAAGGGGAAGAATAGTTACTACCTAGCAGGCTCTAGGAAGGTGGCATAGGACTTCCTGATGTTTTCTGAGCACAGGGGTGAGTGAGTAGCAGCTAATTCCTATGGAGCCTAGAATTTTACCTCTGTTGAAGATGGGATTGATGAGTTATGCTCCTTTAGTTTAGGAGTTGTGATCTTTGGTTTTTCCCTTCAGAAAAAGCTGGATTGTCTGAAAAGCCTGGATCTGTTTAACTGTGAGGTCACTAATCTGAATGATTACCGAGAGAGTGTCTTCAAGCTCCTGCCTCAGCTGACCTACCTGGATGGCTATGACCGAGAGGACCAGGAAGCCTCTGACTCAGATGCAGAGGTGGATGGTGTGGATGAAGAGGAGGAGGATGAAGGTGAGTGGACTTGGCTTCTCATGATCCTGACTTGATTTTCGAGGGTCCCAAGCAATGCTACTGAATGTTGTTTTTGCTGTTGAGGAAAATCTTATCTGTATCTGTGGGCTGGCCATGAAATTTGAAATCAAAACAAAAAAAGGTTTATTATTAATTTTATTTTATTTGGAAGCTAGAAATTTTTGACTGCAGCCTACAAGCCACTAAAATCTTCGAGTACTCTTACAGAAGACCATAGATTTCTTTTGGGGATGGGGGTCTTTTTGAGACGGTTTCCCTGTAGCCCCACATCACAGAAATCTACCTTCCTTCACCTCCAGAGTGGTGGCGTGTGCCACCATACCTGACATATCTTTGTGTCTTTGAATGAGACCCTGTCTGACTTACCCCAGACTGGTGGACCTGAAGACTTTCAAAACAGAGGCATGATGATACACACCTATAGTCTCAGCACTTGGGAGAACGCACAAAATAATGGTCAAGAAAATAGAAGAGGAAAAACATTAGGAACCTTGGTTTCAGTTGTGTGGGGTCTCCATGCATGTAGGATCAATTTTACATGTCAAGTTAATGCACAAGGGGCCAGTGGGCAAAGAGTAGGTCAGCTTGCCCTGTGCCAAATGCTTAGTCCATTGCTGCCTTACTGTAGTAAGACTTCCAGTTATTCCCAAAAGAGACTGTGGTTCTTTTTATGGAAGTTCTTCATAAACAGCTCACATACTGCCACTGAGCTATCCCTTAGTCAGGCAACTAACACCAAGTAATTTCTTTGTGCCAGTTGTGGTGGTGTGGGGGAGACCTTAGCCTCTTGAATTTAAGCTGTTCTCTTAGGACTAAGGACCTGTAGAAAGAAGGCAGCTGTAAGTCAGCCCTAATATTTGTGCAGCCTATTGGTTATCCTGCAGGCTAGCTCTTGGCTTCTGTACTCCATTGGGTCATCAAATATTCAGGAATTTCCTTTTGGTACTGTTTTCAGAAGGAGAAGACGAGGATGAAGAGGAAGATGAGGATGGTGAGGAGGAGGAGTTTGATGAAGAAGAGGATGAAGATGAAGACGAAGATGTAGAAGGAGAAGATGATGAAGATGAAGTCAGTGGGGAGGTCAGTGTACCTGTTTTATGTCCTGCTTCTATTTGTAGTGTGAAGGCTAAAGTGTGTGTTAAGAAGAAAGTCAGTCTAATGCCTGCAGCTTTTGTTTCGATTAAAATATTGAATATGATGGCCTGCTGAATGCTACGTAGGCAGTGTTTGTTTCTGCAAGGTAATTTTGCCTTTCAAATTCAGAAAGAAGCAACATGAGAACTTAAAAGAGTTGTGGTTCAAAGTTAAAGAATATGCTCCTCTGAAAGAGCAGACATCCACTAATACTGTAGTTCCGAAGGCTCTCTAGGATAACGGAAGGGAGTGGTTTGGTTTTGACCCTAAAGGATTTTAAGAAAAAAAGCAGAGTATTTGCTTTTATTTTTTTTAATATTTTCTTTATTATTATTTTTTATTTTATGTGTATGACTGTATTGCCTGCATGTATGTGAGTGCACCCGTGTCATGCAGTGCTGCAGAGGTCAGAAGAGGGCTTGGGATTCCCCTGGGACTGGAGTTAAGGACGGTTTGTAGCCGCCATGTGGGTGCTGGGAACCTGGGTCCTCTGTAAGAGCAGTCAGTGCTCTTAACGGCTGAGCCATCTCTCCAGCCCTAAGTATTTGCTTTTATACTGTAGTGCTCTCTTAGTATACAAATGAAGCATTTGTATAGCTGCATGGGTAAATGGCAGTGAAAACTTAGTATAAGAATGGGAGGGTAGCCCAGGTGTGGTGGTGCACACCTTTAGTCCCAGCAGTGAAAGGCAGGTGGATCTCTGAGGTCAAGGTCAGCTGAGGCTACAGAGAGACCCTGTCTCAAAAAGACCAAAAGAAACGGGAGGGCGGGGGGAGTAGGGTAGTGGGGTCATGATGGTGTACACCTGAAATCTCAACACTTGGGAGCCAGAGGTAGACAGGTCTCTCTGAATTTTGAGGCCGCTCTGTAGTGAGACCCTGTCTTAAGAAAAAAGAAAGAGGGACTGGAGAGATGGCTCAGCAGTTAAGAACCCTGGTTGTTCTTGCAGAAGACCCAGGTTCGAATCTCAGCACCCACATGGCAGCTAACAATTGTCTGTAACTCCAGTTCCAGGGGATCCGACAACCTCTTCTGTCCTCCTCGGGCATTGCATGACACGGGTGCACTTACCTACATGTAGCAGGCAATACACGCATACACATAAAATAAAAATAGTAAATAAACATTAAAAGAAAAAAAGAGAGACAACAGGAGTGTAGGTGGGCATGTTAATACATACTTATAATCCAGAACCTGGGAGGCTTAGGCAGGAAGATCACAACTTCAAGACCAGCCTGGGTTGCATTTCAACACCCACAAACACACAGTTACAAAAATGTATAGGACTACAGAAAAATCTTTGCTCAAACCCTTGTTGAAATTCTTTTTTTTTTTTTTTAAGGTTATAAATTGCTTACTTATGAATAGTTATATAGTTAAGGTTTTGGAGAAACCTTAAAGTGTTAAAATTATTTGCAAGAGTAGAGAATCATGTTGCCCAGGCTGGCCTGGAAATTGCTGTGGCCAATAATGACCTTGAACTCTTAAACCCTCCTGCCTCTTCTCACCTAAGTACTGGAGTTGTAGTTGTGTATCACCAAGCCTGGCTCTCTTTGTGTTTTTTAATTTAGCAGAATATAATGATAATACTAATCTATTCTCTATTCTTAGGACGAAGAATTTGGACATGATGGAGAAGTTGACGAAGATGAAGAGGATGAGGATGAGGATGAAGATGAAGGTGGGATTGATGCATATACATTGATTCCCCTCAGTTAGAAATTAGATGAAAATGCTCACAAGTTAACCGGATGTGTATTTATCTATTTAGAGACAGGATCTCAACTATATTGCTCAGCCTTACCTTGAACTTAGTCCTCCTGGGATTACATGGCTATGCCACAGCACCTGGCTGTTCAGGATCTGATAGCATCTAGCAAATGAAAAGCCCTTGCTTGGCCTTTAAGTCTCCTGGGTACTGGTCCAGCTCCACCAGTACAGCCATGCTCTGTACTGCACAGGGCACACATCCAAGTTGCCAATGCCTAAGCTTTATGGCCTTGGTTTATACCTTTTTTTTTTTTCAATATTTTATTATTTTTATTTTTTTATGTGTATAAGTGTATTGCCTTCATGTATGTGAGTGTACCCATGTCATGCAATCTTGTAGAGGTCAGAAGAGGGCTTCGGATTCCCCTGGAACTGGAGTTAAGGACAGCTCGTAGCCACCATGTGGGTGCTGGGAATCGAACCCAGGCCCTCTGCAAGACCAGTCAATGCTCTTAACCGCTGAGCCATCTCTCCAGCCCCTTGGTTTGTACCTTTTAAATGCTTTGGTTGGGCTTAGCTGCCAAGCTTGAGATTTTTTTGTGTGTGATGATGGTTCTTTCATTAAGAAGACTTTAAGAATCATACTTGAGGGCTTGAGAGATGGCTCAGCGGTAAGAACACTGGTTGTTCTCTCAGAAGACCCGGGTTCGAATCCCAGCACCCACATGGTAGCTAACAACTGTCTGTAACTCCAGTCCCAGGGAATCCGATGGCCTCTTCTGTCCTCCGTGGGCATTGCATGACATGGATGTGGTCAGTTACATGCAGGCTATACACGCATACACGTAAAATGAAATAAAATTTTTTAATTTTTTTTTAAAAGAATCATACTTGAGGTTTAGGCAGGTGTTTCAGGCTAGCGTAGGCACCATCTCTAAAAACTAGATGGGAGGAAACTAGCCTAACTGAATCTTAATTTTTCAGGCTATATTAATAGCACCTGTCAGTATTACACCTTTCCTCCACCACAAGGAAAACTAGTGAGGAGGCCATTTACAGGCACGCTCTTCTGAGTATGACAGTCTCGGGGAAGCAGTTGCTGCTGTGCTTTGTGCTTCTTCATGCTTCACACTTGCTTGGGACAGCTTTCAGCCATACATGGTGTAGACTAGACTTTCACTAACATCATAATTTTGAGACAATGTCTGGAAATCCACTTCCCTCTGCCTCCTAAATGCTCTCATAATTTTTTTTATTTGACTAGACAGAGCTGTGTCTGTCTGAATATTCTAATATTGGTATCCTAAGAATTCTGTTTATTTTTGATTTAAAAATACGTTTGTGTATTTTGCCCGCAGGTATGTAACTACACATGTATACAATGCCTGTAGAGGCCAGAAGGGGCATCTGATCCCCTGGAACTGGAGTTGTGAATGGTTGCTAGTCATCATGTTGGCTAGGAATCAAACCAATTGAGCCATCTCTCCAGCCCCCTATCCTGGAACTCACAGAGATCCTTCTGCCTTTGCCTGATGAGTGCTATGTGGTTTGGAGGGGGGGGATATGGTTGGGCAGGGGGTCTTTTTGAGATAAAGTCTCCCTGTAGCCCCAGCTGGCCTAGAACTCCCCTGTAGACTGGGCTGGCCTTGATCTCACAGAGAGCCACTTCTCTGTTCCTTCAGTGCTTGGGAGTGCCGGGATTGAAAGTGTGTGCCACCATGTCCTGCTCTGTTTTTTCTTTTTTTAGTATTGTCTGTGGTGGGCGGGTATAGGCTAAGGTTCAAGGATAGCAAGAGCTTTGTCTTCCTGTTCCCTTGTTCTTAGATGGCTGTTGCCCAGAACACCACACCCAGTTAGGAACTTTTTTAAGTTGATAGTAAGAAACATTTGGAAGAATGAAGACAGGCAGATCTCTGAATTTGAGGCCAGCTGGGGCTACAGGGAGACCCTGTCTCAAAAAAGACCAAAAAAAGAAAAATTTAAAATGAGAAAAGTTGGTTGGTGGTGCTGCTCTGCAGTCTATTTATTCATGCCCTTTAATCAGTAAACTGATGACGCTGACATCTTTATCTCCAAATCTCCAAAAATTGTTGCTTCCATTAGCAGTGTTGTAGGCAGAGTGCCTTTCAGAAGTTCTCACAGTCTGTTTTGTTACTACAGAGGAGGAAGAAAGCGGGAAAGGTGAAAAGAGAAAGAGAGAAACAGACGATGAAGGAGAAGACGATTAAGACCCCAAACAACCTGCAGAAACAGAACTGTTCAGTATTGGTTGGACTGCTCATGGATTTGGTAGCTGTTTTAAAAAAAAGGTAGCTGTGATACCCCAGGACACCCACCCACCCAAAGAGCCAAAGAATAGTTCCTGTGGCATTCCACCTTCTTCCATTTAGTCCCTCTTGGTACTCCACCACCAAGAAAAGTGTAAACGTTGTTAGGTTTTCCTGTACGACTCTTGCTGTAGCCTGGATAGCTGTGATTGGTGAGTCAACTGTCCGTGGCTACCAGTTACACTGAGATTGTAACAACATTTTTACTTTCTGTACAACAACAAGAAAAAGCTTTGTAAATAAAATCTTAACATTTTGGGTCTGTTTTTTTCATGCCTTTTTTTACGGTTGTTTTTTTTATTATACACACACACACACACACAGAGATTAGGACCTTTTATATGAGAACTGCCATACAGACACACCAGAATGACAGAAGCAGGACATTCATTACAGAATCCCTGCATCTGTCTGAGAGAGAGAGAGAGAGAGATTAGGACCTTTTATATGAGAACTGCCAAAAAAGTTTTTTTAAGTCTAAGTGAAATAAATACTCTTTGGTAAAGCCTAGTTGTATGTTCACATCTTTAAATTAGGCTCTTACTACAGTACGCTCCTGTTAACATACTTGAAGGAAAGTGACTGGGTGCATTGTCGTCCTATTGGTGGTCATTGACAGGAAATGTGCAAGGATAGGAGACCTTTGAAATGAGTCTTCACTATAACTATGGAAGTAAATGAATTTTTAAAAATGGTTTGGAGTCTGGAATCATGATAGAACACTTGCCTAGCATGTGTAAGGCCCTGAGTTGCAGTCTCTAGTGGAAAAAAAAATTTTTCCAATTGAATAATCTGGAGCCCCTGAAAATCAGCAAATAATTTTTGTATAATGCATGACTTAAGAGGAAAGGAAACGCCAGAGCCCCGAGTTCCAGTTCTGGGTTTGTCGCATTTCCTGTGTGACCTTGTCTTGACTCCTTGGTCTCTTCTTTGCCTAAAATTGAAGGGATGTGATCAAATGGTTCAGGAGTCTCAGCACTGGTAGTCTGTGATTCCACTGACAGTAAATGCCAGAGACGTAAAACTGGACTTTATGCTGGGGGTAGAGGCACATACCTTTTAGTCACAGCAGAGATAGGATCCCTGTGAGTCTGAGGCCAGCCTGGACTACATAGTGAGTTCTGGACTAGCCAAGAGTAGATCTATGTGATTGTTTCCTCTACCTTATTTCCCAGAAAGCAAGCCTTCAGTATGTTTTTCAATAGTTTTTTTTTTTTTTTCCTGCAGCCTAAATTGGAGTGGCCCCTCAGGTTGGAACTTGGTATGCAATCATAGGACCAGAATGGGACCCCTACCCCTGAAAGTGCCTGTAACTCCTACTCCAGGGGATTGGATGCTCTCCTGCCCTTCATGTGCACCCCACCACCGACCTCCACACACAGCAAAGCAATAGAGTAAATCAGATTTTTTGTATATTGTCAAATACCAAATGCAGTAACATTGGGTGAATTTTTTTTCAGAAGTTTACATGATTTTCTATCCTAGGACATGCCAGGCTCCTTGGCAGGGCAAGAGGAAGAAGGTTTAGCTTACAGAGACAAACCAGCCCTCAATGTTCACAGTAACCAATAAGGAAGAAAAGACATTGGGGTGTGAGTGATGCCTACTAGGGCCTAGGAACAAGGCGACATAAGTAAAATGGAGTAAAAGGGGAGTCTGGCAGACACGCAGGAATAGGAAATGGCTGCGATTTTGTTAACCAGAGGCAGATTTGACTGGAGAGAGCAGTGGAAGGTGAGGCTGGAGAAACAATTAGATCTTGTAATCTCAGCTGTCCTGGGGTGCTGGCTGTGGAGACCAGGCTGGCCTTTGAAGGGCTGGGATGGAAGGTGTGTGTCATTTTTTTTCTAAGACTAGGTTTACCAAAAGCCCCTGATATGATTGTCCTTAGGATGAGCTTGAAGGTCAGCCACCCTTGACTGAAGAATCTTGGAGAGTTCTAGGAAACAAGCTCTGTGGTGATGGGGCAAACTACTAGACTTGTGGCCCACGTGAAAGATTAACTGAGTGGGTTCGCTTCCAGCAGTGGCAAAAGATGTCTGAGTTACAAATGGTGGGTGGAAGCTATGATGGACTGGATGTCCAGGCCTGACCAGCTGCAGGGCTAGTAGGACTCTTGACTGTGAGTCTTAGTGTGAGGTCAGGAACCTGAGCCTGGGGAAAGGCCCAGTGTCTTGGTACAGTTGTGAAAGAGTGCTGCCTACAAACTGGATAGCCCATTCACAGCCTCTTGCCTGGAGTTCACATCTATAGGAATCCAGACACTGAGGAGTAATGATGCTTAGAAATGGAGAAATGTCCATCTTGCAGGAGATGCTGGATCTAACCTTTTCCCCATTTCTCCCACCATGATCCAGACTAGTACTTTTTAATGTGTATGTATGATGGGAGGCATGTGCCATGGTATTTAATGTGGAGGTCACAGGGTCAGTTTTTCCACCTTTGCATGGGTTCCAGGGGTTCAAGCTTTTAGGGCAAGTGCTTTACTTGCTGAGCCATGTTGCCAGCCCACATTCACGGTTCTAGCAGCCCAGTGTCAACTTCCCATCGCTGACATCCCTGTTTGAACTACACTACCTTACCACCAAGGAAGGGCTGGACAGAATCACAAAGCACTCTGCCCTTTTCTGTGACCTGCCATCTCCAGTCCTGTCAGGTTGTGCTGACATCAATTTTAATGAGGCTGATGATACCCTTGTGTTGACAGTTTGAAAAGGGAGTCAAGTTACCAATCCACTTTAGGCAGCCAAGCACTTGCTCGGGCGGGAAAATTACCAAGACTGCAGTAAGCCTGGAAATTCCTCCTAGAGCCAAGCAGCCTGATAGATGGAATGGAATGGGGAAGTCTGATCTTAGTTTTTATTTTTTCAATTGTTTGGTCTTTTTGAGACTGAGTCTCCCTGTAGCCCCATCTGGCCTAGAACTCACTATGTAGACCAGGCTGGCCCTGAAGTCACACACATCCTGCCTCTACTGGGATTAAAGGCCACCACACCTGGCTTGTAACTTTTTAAAAAAGTACTTATAATGTATTAGTGTATTGTTTTTTAAAAACTTATTTTATGAGCATATTGCCTGTATGTATGTGAGTGCACCCATGTCATGCAGTGCTTGTGGAGGTCAGAAGAGGGCATCAGATCTGGAACTGGCTGTTAGCTACCATGTGGGTGCTGGGAACCTAACCTGGGTCCTCTGCAAGAGCAGTCAGTGCTCTTGACCAGTGAGCCATCTCTTCAGCTCCAAAGTCTGTAACTTGTTAGGAATACTTGTTAGTATAAGAAAATTACCCCATAGAGTTACTCTTGTCAGAGGAAGGGGTTTGGGGACTTTGGGCATGTTTCTAAGAGCACTGCCCTACCCTAGTGTTCTGGCTTGTTTCTCCATTGCTGTGACAAAACACTCTGACTACTACCAACTTGGGGAGGAAAGGGTTTATTTATCTTAAATCTCCTGGGTCACAGTTCATTAGGGAGCCCAAGGTAGGAACTCAGGGCAAGAACCTGGAGGCAGGAGCTGGAGCACAGGCCATGGAGGACCCCTGCTTACTGACTTACTCCCCTGGCCCCTGCTCAGCCTGCTTTCTTAGGCAACACAGGCCCACCTGCCTAGGGGTGGCACCACCCACAGTGGGCTGGGCCCTCCCACGACAATCAAGAAAATGTCCTCAGACATGGCCACAGGCCAGTTCAATGGAGGCAATTCCCCAGTTGAGGCTCCCTCAACCCAGGTGTGTCAAGTTGACACTAAAGCTATCCAGCACACCCAGCTCTGGGGTGGAGGAGTAGCAAGGTCTCAAATCCCAGAGCCTCAGGCTCTGGCCACTTATTATTGTAAGAACCCTCTAGCCACTTCCTCTCCACAAGCCTCCAGTTCCTCACAGCAGACCTGGGCCCTGAGCTCAGTGAGCTGCCAGGTCACTCCAATTGTCTGGGTCCTAGTGTGGGCCACTGTTGAGTTCTGACCAGCAGCGGTGTGCTTGCTGGATCTCCCCTGCCCTTCCCATCACCCTCCAGAAGAGCAGCTAAGGGTTTAGGCTGGTGATGGATATCAGCTATGCTTGAGGCTGGTAGAGAAGGGCAGATCAATGACAAGAGGAGTACCTGGAACCACAGGTACATTAAACCACCTGGCTTGAGTCTTACTTCTGAAGACTAATAATGGCCTCTGCTGTGTCTGTTGCACACTATGGTTTACGTTGCTCTTCCTCGCCCATTATCTGTTCTACGGAGATGGTGTGATGAGGAAACTAAGGTCCCAGCATACAGCCCTTGCTGGCTTCTCTTCCTGCCTTGCACCATTTCCAGGAAGAAACCTGGGAGTGAGCTGCCAGGCCTCAGGTGGGGAGGTGGGGGTCATCACAGGAGGTCCCTTATGAGAAACTGGACGCTTTGCACAGTGCAGGTGGACAGCAGAAAAGGAAGGCCGAGGAAACCCAAGTGCCCAGTAACATCATCCCCTGGCACAGTGCTCTCCGTGCTGGTGGCCCAGACCTAACTTGTCCTCCCTACCCCACTGTTCACACAGCTGCTGTCCTGTGGCGCTCTGCTGAGGAAGTTTCTGTGCTCTCCCAGTGCCTGCAGAGAACACTCCTGACATCAAATTCCAGGCTGCTTCTACCCTGCCTTCCCAGCCCTCCTTTCTGCCACCTGCTTCTCCATGCCCTCTGGGGCCATCTACACATTCCTGAGCACTTTCCTCCATGCCATCGCTAGAGTCCAGACAATATAGAGTCCAGATAATCTTCCTCCGTCAGCACAAGAAAAATTCATTGCCAGGGGCAAGAAGTAGAGCAAAGGCATTAGCCCACATGGCCCTCAGGAGGCTTCCTTCCACAGCTCCTCATGTGACTGTCTGTCCAGTCTGAAATGACTGTCCTTCTCTAGACCCTGGACAGGCTGGCTGCCCCTTTCTTGTCTCCCTTTCATGTCTGATGAGGACTAGCTTGGGCCCTGTGTCTGACTCTTGCTGGGTCCAGGACACTGGCATACACTTGCCTCAGGACAAAGTGCTGTAGATTCCTGAGGCCACCCTAACAATTGCACACTGGGACGCTTCCACCAGGAGGCAACCACTGAAGCAGAGACCACGGAAGTGCTGGATAGCCTCAGTTGTCAACTTGACACACCTGTGTGTAAGGAGCCTTGGTTGAGGAACTGTCTCCATTGGATTGGCCTGTGGCTATGTCTGTGGGGCATTTCCTTGACTGTTGAGAGATGTGGGAGGCCCAGACTATTGTGGGTGGTGCCACCCCTGGGCAA